TAGTTCTTGCCGTTTGTAGGAGGCCGCATCACTTGCTGTGGTCTATCGCACAACGTCGCCAGGTCCACTCTAGCCTTAGGGTTGTCCTTAGACTTGTCAGTGTCCATGAGTGTTGCCCAAAGTGCCTCGGCGATATTCTTTTCAGTGTGCATTACATCAATGTTATGGGGCAGTAGGAGGTCATCGAAATAGGGGAGCCTCGTCAAGCCAGACTTATGAGTCCACATGTGTTGCTCACCATATCCCACAAAACCACCTTCTTCATTGGGCAAGAGAGCATCTATCTGAGCATGAACCTCGGCACCAGTCTTCAAGTGCGGTCTAGGGTCCGTGACTGTGACACCTTTCCTGAAGTTCTTGGTGTCCTGTCGGAATGGATGGTTAGAATCTAGGAATTGACGATGTTGATCGAATGACGAATACTTACCACCCTTCTTCAACCAAATGAACCTCACAGCTTCCTGGCATATTGGGCACGGGAACTTCCCATGAACACACCAGGCGCTGAATAACCCATACGCCAGGAAGTCATGCATGGAGTACTGGTACCAGACGTACATTTTGAAGCTTTCCTTTGTAGCTCGGTCGTATGTCCATACACCTTCATTCCAAGCTTTGATCAACTCATCAATCACAGGCTCCATGAACACACCCATCTTACTCCCTGGGTGCCCGGGAATTATCAACGTCAAGATCACATTATGTCATTGAAAGGCGACGCCAGGGGGGAGATTGAGGGGGATAACAAACACGGGCCAACATGTGTAAGGGGCAGACATCATGCCATAAGGATTAAACCCATCTGTTGCCAGCGCGACACGTACATTACGAGCCTCATCGGATTTCAAACAATGCTTGTCATTAAAGCTGGTCCATGCTTCACCATCAGATGGATGCACCATCTTGTCAGGATGGTAGCGTTTGCCATTCTTGTGCCACGTCATCTATTTTCGCGGTTTCCTCGGTCATGAATAGCCTTTGAATCCTCGGCACGAAGGGAAGGTGCCGTAGGACTCGGGCGGGTATCTTAAGCTGGGTCTTCTGGCCACCACCATCACCAAACTCTACCTTCAGGAACCTGGAGGCTTTACACTTCGGACAGTACTTTGCCTCCTTGAGTTTTTCCTGAAATAGGACACACCCGTTCGGACAAGCATGTATCTGTTCATATGGCATCTTTAGTGCTTTAAGGAGCTTGTGTGCCTCATACATGGTCTTTGGCAACATGTGGTTTTTTGGAAGCAGGGTGCCAACCACGGCCAACACCTTATCGAAGCCTTCTCGACTCTAGTTTAAATCGGACTTCAACCCCATCAAGCAACTTATGGCATCCAGCTGGGAGACCTCAGAATGAGCATGAAGGGGTTTCTGTACTGAGTCCATCATGTACTTGAACGCATCTATGGCTGCCTGCATTTCCGCCTCCTCATGTCCTTCAGCAAACTGTGCTTGGTGAACGTCATCTACCATGTCTGCTACCCCGGCATCAGCATCGAAAGCCTCGACGCATTGTCTCACCACCTCCTCTCTCATACGATCGGCTTCACCATGGTGGACCCACCGGGTGTAGTTCGATGTAAACCCATTCTTGTGCAGATGTGTACCCATGAGTTCCTTGTCTAGCATTCTCCTGTTACCACACTTGCTGCAGGGACACAAAGCCATTTTTGGGATTTTTGCGGCCTTGCCAAATGCACGATTCAAGAAACGATCGGTCTTCTGCATCCATTCATAGCTGGCATCACCCTGACTTGTCCGACCCGTGTACATCCACTGACGGTCCTCCATCCTCTAGCATATATAACATCACCACAGGTGACCATCAATTGCATCTACGCGGTGTCCCTACTCTCTAATAGGTGAGGATAGGTCCTAATCCCACCCGCGGATGCGTAGATGAGGTTAGTTTCCATGCTCCGCTCCTATCCGAGATGGAATTTCGACAGCACCTCCCCGCCGTTCTCTCGATACATGTCCTGCAAGGGAGAGTGTGTATCTGAAGAACAACGGAGAGGTGATGCCGAAACACCATCTCGAACCAGAGCAGAGCATGAAAACTAACCTCAACTACGCATCCGCGGGCTGTCCAAAAAGCGTGGACAATCCGAAATACATACGGTCGCAGATATGCAAAGGTTCGCATATCTCCGACTGTATCTCTTTTGAACGGGAGACACCTAACTAGGTTACGCGACCAAAAACCACATACGGATAGAGGGGTTATACCTAGGGTGGCGGTGAGGTCCGGGTAGTGGGGCGGTGGAGAGTCGGTGCAGTGGCGAGTCGACGCGGTGCAGGAAGACCCGCAGCGCCGACGAAGATGATTGGGGTCGCTGAGTCCCTCCCACAGGTCCTCCTCCTGCAAAAAAGGGCAAAAATGGTTAGTGTCGACTCAAAATTTCGGCAGCTCCTCCACGAGGAGGTTCCCAAAACCTACAAAAAACATGGCACGAAGGCCAACAACCACATATATACCAAACATGGCACGAAGGCCAACAACCACATATATACCAAACATGGACACGAAGGCCAACAACCACCAATATATCAAGAGGAGCCATGTACTTTAGTTCTCTTTCCATGCACATGAAAGTATTGAAGTAGTACAACAACAATTACTACTAACCCTACAACTACTACTAACACTACTACTAACAACTACTTAACTACTAACAATGCTAATAGTAAGAACTACTTAACTATTAACAACAACTACTACTAACCACTACTACTTACTAACTACTACTATTTACTAACCCTACAACCAACACTACTAACTACTACAACTAACACTACAACTAAAACTACTAACTACTACTACTAACACTACAACTAACTACTACTAACACTACTACTAACTACTACTACTAACACTACGAGGGTAGGGCTTACCTTGGCGGCAAGAACGGCAAGAGCGAGGGCCAGCGACGATGGCGGGGATGACCGCAGCAGCGCGAGGATCAACGGCCGGTCGGAACGACGTGGGGATCGACGGGCGGTTGGGTCGGCACCTTCCTCTTCTTCCTCATCCCCTTTTTTCTTCTTCTTCCTCTTTCTTCCTCCTCCCCTTCTCTTTTTTGCTCTTCCTCCTCCCCCTTTTTTTTCTTCTTCTTCCTTCCTCCTCCCTTCTTCCACCTACCTCCTCATCTGCTGTTGGCGGAGGAGGAGCCCGTGGCAGACCATGGGGCAGCCGGGCCTCATCGGGGGCGGCCAATGAGGTGGGACGCGCGTGGCCCGCCATGGCCGGCGGGCTGGGCGCCGGGGCAGCAGGAGCGCCGGCGAAGCCGCCGGGTCGCCGAGTCGGCGGGGCATGGGCCGTGGGGCCGCGGATCCAGCGCGAGCGCCGCCCGGCCGCCGCCGGGCGCGCCGCCGCCGTGGCGCGGCTCATGCAATGCTGGCTGGCACGGCATGATCTGGCCAAGGCGTCGTGGCCGCTGGATCAAGCGGCAGAAAAAAGGCGCGGCGCGAGTGCGGAGAGGCGCGGGCGCGGCGGACCGGCAAGGTGCGGGCGCGACGGAGCGCAAGGGCGGCGGCAGCGGAGCGCGACGGCGACGGCTGCGGACCGCAGGCGCGGGATCGGTCTGCTGGAATAGGTTAGGGTTGGGACGGGCCGGCCTTTTTAGTCATGGGCCTTTGCCGGGGCCAGGCGACGACGGCACCCGGTAAAGAATTTTTTATTTTTTTTAAATTTCTTTGCCGGGTGCCCCATGACCTGGCACCCGGCAAAGGCTTCTTTGCCGGGTGCCCTAGGTGGCACCCAAAAAATTTTTTTTTTGTTTTTTTGACCCTATTTTTTTTGTGGGGACTTGTTACAGTAAATATATTCCTATTTTAAAATTTGGGACAATTATGAGTTTTTTAACTATATTTCCTTAATTTTTCCATTTCATTGAATTTTTCCGACTATTCCAAATTTGAACTGCAGGTATATGAAATAATGGAATATGGTCATTCAAAAAATAGTATTCATGATATTTAGGCTATGTCGAGGCCGTATGCAGGAAGTGGCATGAAATGTCGCGCATCATGTTGTCGTAACATGACGATGTACTCGCGGGGGGAGTTTATTTAAATTATATAAAATCCAAACGATGTCCAAAAATCACGAAACTTGTCGATGTGTCTTGTTATCACATGTGAAGCTGCTTTGCCGGAGGCCTTTCTTTGCCGGGTGCCGCCTGTGAAATCAGCCGTTTCCTGTTGTGAACGTTAATTCGCTCTGATGGTCTAAGACGTATTTAAAGTCTCGCCCGACCTCTCGGGTGTGGGCTCCATCTCGCCAAACCCCTCGGGCGCGGGCTCCGTCTCGCCCGACCCCGAGGACGCAGGCACCGTCTCGCTAGAACCCTCGGGCGCGGGTTCCATCTCGCCCGACGGGGATCCATACCGTCTTTAACCACTACGGGTCTAAGAGTACGACTCCAGGGTCAAACTTCTAACACCGGGAGGGAAGCAGACATGTCTCGACGTGACCCGTGGCCACGACGGACCATACCTAGGGGCTCACGTCACCAACAGAGTCAAGCGTGCCGGCGCTGTGCTGCCTAATCCCCGTACGGCTCCTGACAGGAGTACATGTTGACCATGCCCTCTGCTGGGACGGGATGGGACGCCACAACAAGCTAACGACGCCTGCGTATAGCGCTAGTGACGAACAGGGCGCGACGTGGAGCCATCCCCGTCATTATCTACAGGACCGGCGGGATCCACATAAAGGAGATAAAGGACGCTGCGACCCTAGAGGCCTTCTTCTCCCTCGTTTTTTTTCCTTTTCTCTCTTTCTCTCTTCTATAATATGCGCCTTCTCCTTCACCTATAAAAGGGAAGAGGCTTTTACATGTATGCCATTAAAAAAGTTTGTAATTACACACGAGCCATTAAAAAAATTGACCGCACACATGTGTCACTGCTCTAAACTTCTTTGCCTTACATGCCATTTCGTTCGTGTTCCATTTGCTTTTCGCCGTTTGATATGAGACCAACCAGTGAAATTATCCGTGTTACCCTCGGCGGTGGATGTGGGAGTGGGATTCGTCGTAGCCCAGGCTCATGTGGCGCCGCAGCGGGTTGCTGCCGATGAGTGTCAGCTCGTTCTCGCGCTCGTAGTAGCTGCTGTCCCACTGCTCGCCGCCGCCGGCGTCGCTGAAGCGGAACAGCGCATCCAGCTTGATGAACGTGCCGAGGCTCTCGACGAGCTCCGTCTCGAAGGAGTCCACGTCCTGGTGCACGTCGCGGTAGCCGTAGCGCACGATGCAGCGGTAGGAGCGGTGGCCCGGCGGGCCGACGCGGCCGACGAGGTAGCGCTCGGCGGGGAGCACGTGCGGCACCGTCACGGACTTAACGCAGATGAAGACCAGCACCCGATGGAACGCCAGCAGGTTGGTCACGAAGCGGGAGAAGTTGGCTGGCACGCCGGAGGTGAGGTCGGTGTAGACGAGGCCGATGCCCGGGACGCGCACCATGCTCAGCTTGTCGCCCAGCGCCAGCAGCCACTCCAGGGTCACCTTGTTGTGCATGTCGTACTCGTACTTTTTGATCGTCGTGTGGTGCCACACGAACATGACAGCGAGCAGGATGTGCGCCAGGAGGATCGGCAGCCACGCGCCTTCCAGGAACTTGATCAGCGACGCCGAGAAGTAGAGCGCCTCGATGGAGCCAAAGAAGAGGAAGAAGGCGAGGGCCAGCCATGGAGACCAGTCCCAGCACAGCATGATCACCAGGGACATGAGGCACGTCGTCACCAGCATCACCGTGATCACGGCCAAGCCTGCACAACAATTCAGAAGCAAAAGTTCAGGTATATGGTTGGATCAGTTTTTTGCACAATATCATCAGTGCCAGGAAAGCAAGATACTCTACTCACCAGACGCGCGCGTTTCCCATGTGCTTGGTGTTACGGAAACCAACAGTGACAGCAATGCAGAGGACCATGAGGATCCAGTTGACCTCAGGGATGTATATCTGGCCATGAACTTTGTCAGACGTGTGCACGACTTTCACCCTGGGGAAGCAGCTCAGAGACTGGCTGTGGCTGATGATGGAGAACGTGCCGCTGATGATGGCCTGGCTGCCGACCACCGACGCCAAGATTGCCAGCACTAGAATTGGCCATCTTACACTCTCTGCATTCATCACAGAGGCAAAAGCCTGTGAATGTCTGAAACTCTGAAAGCGTAGTGTGATGTGAGAATAAACCAACCATGTAGTAGTGTGGCGTACCAGGAACTGCAATGTAGAATCCAATTTGATAGCTTGCGTCAAGGTTATGGTGCTGGGACAAATAAGCAGCTTGGCCCATGCATCCCAGGATCAGTGAACGGTACACCAAAGAAGTGAAAGCAAGCTGAAAAAAAGGATAGACTTCATCAGTTCAGAGTTCAGATTTACTTACACACTAAGGCTTCGATCAGAAACTGAACTGAAGTGAACCATCGTCAGCATAATTCTGGCGAAGCAGCAAGGCATGGTGGACAGACAGAGAATTAAAGGTGAGCGACGCCGACTGTACGTACCAGAGATGGCGGGCGTGAGGACGCCGTCGCCGATGACCATGCAGGTGCCGATCATGACCATGACGAGCAGCGCGGTGTGCAGATTCTTGTGCTTCTCAAGCCAAGCCTTGATGCCGGACCTCCCGGCGGCCTCGGGCGGGCGCTCCAGCCTGTAGGTGGAGAGCTCCTCGTCGGCGACCTGTCGGTTGGGGAGGAGGCTGACATTGGCGTGGCGGCAGATGAGGGAGTAGAGCGCGAACGTGCCTCCTGTGGGCATGCCGGAGAGAGAAGAGATGATCAGAACAGAGCTGGCTGGTGGTGCTGCACTGCAGGGTCAGGGTGTAGGCTGCAGCTAGCGGTGGCCGACGCACATACGTACCTTCGCCGTTGTCGTCGGCGCGCAGGACGGTGGTGACGTACTTGAGGAGCGGGATGAGGGTGAGCGTCCAGAAGACGAAGGAGAGGGCGCCGTAGATCTCCTCGTTGCCCTCCGAGTGCGTGATGTCCTCGGCGAAGGTGCTCTTGTACACATACAGCGGCGAGATGCTGAGGTCGCCGTACACCACGCCGAGGCTCTGGTACGCCAGCAGCAGCAGCGTCCACCACGGCTCCCTCTGCAATCAAAACAACCACAGGACGCGCCGAGGTTGCGGCAGCCGGCTAATATAGCCAATTTCACTGGCCGGTGCCATATTAAACGGCGACAAATAAATGAAACACTGACGAATGGCTCCTAAGTTAAACAAGTTTAGAGCGGTGGCATCTATATGCGGTTAATTTTTTTAATAACTTATATATAATTATAAACTTTTTTAATGGCACACATATAAAAGCTTCAAAAAGGAAAAGCAGGACGCCCCATGAGGGACACGAGCATATGGCTGAACAAGCTCAACAAGACTCAACTTCATTCGATCTTTTCATCAGAGACTTGGGACCTTCTCCCTCTCTAGCTCATTTGTAATCCCTACTACAAACTAGTGCCGGTAACACGAGCAGCAGTAGACTGGACGTAGGGACATTCTGCCCGAACCAGTATAAATCATTGTGTGCTCAGAGCACACCATCCGTGTCAGACGCGCAGATACAAATTTACTGGCCGGTGATCCAAAACACCAACAATTGGCCCGCTAGGTAGGGGTTTTTTGCGCGTCTCGATGTCCACATCAAGCCTCGGATGGCTAGTCACGGCGTCAGCTGGGTTCCGGACGCGCACGTGCGCTTTGGGAGCCTGGACTTCATCGTCACGACGGAGGGAGAGTTGACGCCAACCTCGACGCGATCGTTGAGGCGCTTGAGGAGCTGCAGCTGCACGCGCCGGAGGCACGTGCCCCCGGGAGCGACCGGCTCCTCGGCTTTGACTACGGAGGCTGGAGCGCCAACTCGACACCTTCCTGGGACCCCGACCGTCCCGAGAGGAGCTGCACTGCCTTACTTTCTCCTTCGCCAACGCCATGATGCAACTCGCCGAAGGGGACCCGCTCTCCTCTGAACACCTCACCAGGGTGCCCTGGCAGCGTTCCTGTTCGGTCTGCGCAATGCTGCGGGGACCGTTGGCCACCTTGTGGCGCAGCGCATGCACCCATCCCCTACGAGCGACGAGCTCATGAGGATGACCGAATACGTTGCGGAATCTTTCCATAACCTTCTCGCAGGAGATTCAGAGTCGCTCTCCGGCTCTGACTCCAGTAGGGGGAGCCATCACCCCTCACGAGAATATTTTATGGCAGGTACCCCCGAGGGACATGTCGAAAGCGTCCACGAGGGAGGGGCTACCCCACTAAATGACCTCGACGACGAGGTCAAGGAAGAAGCAGGGGCCCTTCCTCGCATGCAGGCGAAACAGCTAAGGGCACGACACCAGGAGCTCGAGGATGCACAACTCCAACTCGAGCAGGAGAGCGCAGAACTCGAGCGAGAGATTGAGCACCATGGAGACGGTGGGTGTGCGCACGTCAAGGCCTGCGACATCAACCGGAGGATCATCAAAGGCGATGGAGCCCGCCCACACTTCGCTCGGGCAAGCTAGAACATCGCTGCCGCGGTGGCTTTACTCCGAGGGCCCCCGAAGCCCATGACACCCGAGGATCATCGGGCCCATCGTGAGATCTGCACGCTGCTCGAGCGCGCGGCGGTGTAGCAGGTAGATAGCTTGCCGCTTCGGCGACGCGAGCTCGATGCCAGTCCACGCGCGCCCTCGGGACGACATGATAGGGACGTGTCTGTCCACCAGTTATCATGTGGCGGCGGGGGGCGCGCCGTGGCCCCATTGCATGAGTGTCTCGGCCTCCACCATGACGCATGTAACACCCTGGATGCCCGTAGGCGTGGATGAAGCGACGAGAGAGAGGAAGCCGGCCACGGCTACCACCCTCGTCGTGGCGGACGCTACAACAGCGGCGAGGACCGAAGCCCGAGCCCTGACCTACCGGGACGTCAGGCCTTTGGCCGACACATCCTCAACGCTGCCTTCCCACCGCGGTACCGACCGCTGACCAATATCCCAAAATACTCCGAGGAAATGAACCCCGGACTATGGCTCGAGGATTACCAGCTTGCTTGCCAAGCCGGTGGAGCGGATAGTGATAGTTTCATTATCCACAACCTCCCATTGTTCCTGGCTGACTCGGCGCGAACGTGGTTGGAGCACCTTCCGCCCAACCGGATTCAAAGTTGGCCAGACCAAAAGGAGTTTTTTGTGGGAAACTTCCAAGGCACCTACACGTGTCTTGGGAACCCGTGAGATCTCAAAAACTGCCGACTAAAGTCCAGAGAAACCCTTCATGAGTACATCCAGCGCTTCTCCCAGAAGTGCAACGAGTTGCCCGACGTCACCGACACTGACGTTATAGGTGCCTTCCTGTCTAGGACCACCTCTGAGTCCCTGGTTCACAAGCTAGGACACAAGGGCCTGTGAACCACCAAGGAGCTCCTCGACATCGCCACCAGCCACACCTCGGGCGAGGAGGCAGTCGGAGCGATTTTCGACCGTCCCAAAGGCAATGCAAAGCGGGATGAGGACGCCGACGAAGGTGTCTCCAACCGCCCCAACAAGAAGAAGAACAAGTAGCGGCGCGAGGGCTCGCTCGTTGCCACTGCCGACCATAAGGGGGGTCAGAAGCCCACCGAGGGTACCCCAGACCACTTTAAGAAGCTGCTCGAAGGGCCATGCCCCAACCATGCCTTCCCCGTCAAGCACCTATACAAAGACTGCGCCCTCATGAAGCAGTTCCTGTCCGGTGGCTCCAATAAGGGGGAGCATAGGAAGGAGCCCAAGCTGGCCATAGATGATGCCAGGGGAAGTACAGCGGCTTTCTGACGCTAGATGGCTGCCTCATGATCTTTGGCGGGTCAGCGGCCTATGACTCCAAATGCCGCCAGAAGCTTGCGCGCCGAGGGGTCTATGCGACCGAGCCGGCCACGCCTTCCTTCTTCCGATGGTCGGAGTCCGCCATCACCTTTGATCGGACTGTCCACCCGGAAAGCGTCCCGCAACCGAGAAGATACCTGCTCATGGTCGACCCGATCGTCGACATGAAGCGGCTCACCATGGTATTGATGGATGGAGGAAGCGGCCCCAACATCATGTACGTTGACACACTCGACGCCATGGGCATCGACCGATCACGCATCTAGCCAACCGGGGCGCCTTTCCATGGCATTGTGCCTGGAAAGCAGGCCATGCCACTCAGGCAGATCAATCTTCCTGTCACCTTCGGGAATCCGACCAATTACAGGACAGAGACCCTTACTTTTGAGGTGGTCGGGTTCCACGGGACCTACCACGCCATCCTCGGACGCCCATGCTACGTGAAGTTCATGGCCATCCCCAACTACACCTATCTAAAGTTGAAGATGCCGGGTCCGCGTGGGGTCATCACCATCGGCATCTCCTTCCAGTGCGCCTACAAGTGCGAGGTCGAGTGCTGCGAACATGCCTCGACAATTATCACCTCAAAAGAGTTCATGGCCATCAGGGAGGAGATCATCGAAGAAGCACCCGAACCTAAGCAGTTGACCGGGTCTTTCAAGCCCGTGGAGGCCACCAAGGGGGTCCTCATAGAACCCAGCATCTCCGAGGGCAAAGTGGTGCGCATCGGCACCATGCTTTCCTCCAAATAGGAAAGCACGCTCATCGACTTCCTCCGCGCTAACAGAGACATCTTTGCATAGACACCCTCGGACATGTCAGGCATTCCAAGAGAAGTCACCGAGCAAGCCTTGAAGATCAAGCCAGGCTCCAAGCTAGTGAAGCAGCGCTTGCGTCGCTTTGATGAGGAGAAGCGCAGGACCATCCGCGAGGAGATTGCGAAGCTTTTGGTGGCTGGATTCATCAAGGAAGTGTATCACCCCGAGTGGTTAGCCAATCCCATTCTGGTAGGAAAAAAGAGTGGGAAATGGAGAATGTGTATTGATTACACGGGTCGCAACAATGCGTGTCCAAAGGATCCGTTTCCTTTGCCGCGCATAGACCAAGTGGTTGACTCAACCTCTAGGTGCGAAACCCTTTGCTTCCTTGATGCGTACTCGGATACCATCAAATAGTGATGAAAGAGTCTAACCAGCTCGTGACGTCTTTCATCACCCCATTCGGATCGTTCTGCTACGTCACAATGCCGTTCGGTCTAAAAAACATGGGGGCTACGTATCAGCGTTGTATGCTCAGGTGTTTCGAGGACCTCATTGGGCGAACCGTTGAGGCCTACGTAGACGACATCGTGGTCAAGTCCAAACGGCCTGACCATCTCATAGCTGTCCTAGAGCGGACCTTCGTGAAACTCCGTGCCAATGGTATCAAATTCAACCCCAAGAAATGCGTTTTTGGGGTCCCAAGGGGTATGCTGCTGGGTTTTATCATCTCCGAGCACGACATCGAAGCCAACCCGGAGAAGATCTCGGCCATCATGAGGATGGGCCCAATTTAGAACATAAAGGGGGTACAACAAGTTACAGGGTGTCTCGCCGCGCTTAGTCGTTTTATCTCGTGCCTCGGCGAACGAGGTCTCCCCCTCTATTGGCTTCTGAAGAAAGCCGACCATTTTGAATGGACGCCCGAGGCCCAGGAGGCACTTGACAAGGTCAAGCAGCTCCTGACGAAGGCCCCGATCCTGGTCCCCTCGACCGATGGGGAACCGCTCTTGCTCTACATTGTGGCTACCACGCAAGTAGTCAGCACAACCCTGGTGGTAGAGTGGGAAGAGGAGGGACACGCCCTCAAAGTACAGTGTCCTATGTACTTCGTTAGCGAGGTCTTGTCCGATTCCAAGACTCGCTACCCCCAAATCTAGAAACTCTTGTATGCCATCCTTATCGCCAAGAGGAAGTTATGTCACTATTTTGAGTCACATCTGGTGATGGCCGTGACATCCTTCCCCCTCGGTGAGGTTGTCCAAAATCGGGACACCACAGGAAGGATTGCGAAGTGGGTACTCGAGTTGATGGATCAGGGTATTTCGTACACCCCTCAGACGGCCATCAAGTCCTAAGTCCTGGCTGACTTCGTGGTAGAGTGGACCGAGATCCAAATGCCACCAGTGGCCATCGACTAGGAGTACTGGATGATGTACTTCGATGGGTCACTGATGAAGAAGGGGGCCGGTGTGGGGTTGGTCTT